TTGAAAATTCAATTTCAATAATTTCTCAAAGAATATTAAAAATATATATTAGATATAAATTTTATTAAAAAATAAAATATTTTGAATAATTGAATTAGGGTTCTTTTAAATACCATGGATCGATGAATGATTTTTTTAACATTATAAGAAAAATAAACCGTCAAAAATATATTAGTTAAAATATTTTATTAGTTGATCATGTTGATAAATTATTAAAAAAAATGTAACTAGAAATAAATTAAATAAATATTAATGATTAAAATAAAGAGTATAATTAGATATAAATTAAATAAATATAAATGATTAAAAGGGAATAGTGTTTAACTAAACAAATTAATAAATAAACATAAATGAATAAAGAGTGTCAGTACCTAATTAAAAATTAATTAATAATAAAATAAAATTAGAAACAACTTATTAAATAATCATAATCATAAAATAAATAAATAAAATAAGAATATGAATATGAATAAAATAATAAATAATCATAATTAAAAATAAAATAAATAAATTATATATATCTTATTTTCTTACCATAATAATTGCCTATAATAATCAATAATATTTATATATTTCTTTACCTTTTCCCTTTCTCTTCTTCTTGTCTATCCCTTTTTCTCTTTCTCTTTTTTCTATTATATATATATATATATATATATATATATATATATATATATATATATATATAAACTGGTCACTCCTATTTAAACTATATTTTTATTTTTTTAGCTTTAATTACATTTTATCTATGAGATATAACCTTTTTAATTTTTTTTAAATATTTAAATTATTTAAAAATATTATAATTAAAACGAAGTATGTTAAAATAATAAGCACATTTTTCCAAAAATTTTAATATATAATGAAAAAAGTATGGGATATTAAATGACATTAACATATATAAGGTTAGTATTTTTTTTAAAGTTATTAATTATTTCACATGATTAATTACAAAATACTAAAATTATTTATAATTATTATTTCAAAGAATGTTTAAATGAATTTATCATTGTATTTTTAATATATTGAAAGTTAAAAATATTTAATGACAAAACTTTTGGAAAATAATGTTTAAATTGATTAAAAATAAAATAATACTGAAGCAAATTAAAATAAGGTTTGAATATAAATTTTAGCAAAGAATAATTGTCCTATATATGTCACTCACAATGGATCCACTACATAGGCCTCGATGACCCTGACAAAGCCACAATCCTTGGGTGGTTCTCAAGTCCACGACCTCATAAACCTAAAATCCTTTGAGGTTGTCTTCGAAAAGATCCACCGCTGAAACGGTTTCCCACCTTATCGTTCAGTCGCGGATATTGTTGGAAGTTGAGTGCAGTCACCTCCTAAAAATATGCAATTCTAATATAATTTATAATTTTAATCTTTAAATTTAATAAATATTTAATATATTTACTTATATATAAATTTTAATCTTTAAATTTAATAAATATTTAATATATTTACTTATATATTTATAATTTTATCTTTTAAGTCCTTCTTCAATCTTGTAACTTTTATATAATTTATAATTTTATTTCCTCAAATTTAATGATCATTTAATATATTTAAATATATATTTACAATTTTATTCTTTCATCTTCTTTTTATATTTATTTATTATTTATTAATAATATATTATTTGATCTCTCCAACATAAATAATTAAGATACTCAACTATTAACGTATGTGGAGCAAAACGAGGCCATGAAACTACCCCTCAAGCATGGCCCTTTTGTCGAGTATGTGAAAAAGAAGGTTTGAATTGGAGGCCCAACAGTTGGCTTCGGTTGTGGTCGCCAGAGAGAATCAGAAGATGTTCAGGAGTTATGAGTATCAAGAATAGGGATCGCAAAACCGGTTACTCCGTTACATCTTTGGTCCGTCAAAATTGGGTAGGACGGACTGTCCCGTTAAATATAATAATAAAATTATTATTTATTTGTTAATAATTTAAATATATATTTATATATATATATATATATTATTTTAATTTAATAATATAAATCAATAAATTATTTTAAGAAATTATAATTTAGAACAATAATAAAATTTACATAATAATAAATAATAACAAATATATATATATATATATATATATATATATATATATAACGTTAAAACTTATAAAATATATATTTTTTATATTGAAAAATTCAAATACTTATCTTTTTTTATTTGATAAAACTTCACATTATTCTTGGTTGAGTAATTCTTATACCTTTAATTCAAGTTATAAGGATAAAAATAATCGAGTGCTTAGATGGAGAACAGGAGAAAGAATGTTATGTTTCAGTAAGGAGAATATGTTATGTGAGAGTGAAACTTTTTTAATTCTCTTTTTAAAATTTTTAACTTTATATATTATCTTTATAATTAATTTTATTACAATAAAAAACTATTTTTTTATTAATTAGACGGGTCACGGGCTGGCCCGTTCAGTCTCACGGGTTGACCGGCGGGCTTGACGGGACAAACAAAAATGAGCTGATGAGCTAAAAATACCAGATCGGTCGAAGCTTAACCCGTTTTGTCATTCCTAATCAATACAAATAGGAGTTCACATGGTTCAGTGGTGGGTTTAGCTTCTTTGGCTGGTGGGTTCAGCCATATGTCCCTTCTTGTTGGTTTGTTGATTAGTTGTCCCCTTCGTTGGCTCTAGGGATCTTCTAAATATAAATTGAATTTTTAATATAAGTGATAGATATAAATTTGTAAACAAAATCAATAAAGAGGACAAATAAAGAGATATAAATTAATCATATATGATACTTAAAAAATATATTGTTAAGAATTTAGATGTGATTTAAAATTTTGAAAAAATTAAATAATTTATAAATATGAAAAATTTGTAATCATATCTTAAAATTTTAGATTAAAAATAATATTATATTTTTTATATTGATTCTGGAATGATTGGGTGTAAAACGTTTGTAGATAATTTTTTAAGTTAGTTATTAAATTTGAGGACTCAATCCTAGATAAGTGGTGAAAACTACTAAGCTAAAGTATGATAAGGGCAGAGGAAATTTTTGGTGCAGCGGCGAAATATGTAGAGAACGAAAAGAATATCAACGATGAAAATATTATGCTGAGATGACACTGATAGAAAAAAAATTAAGGGAACGAACGAGATTAGATACCCTAATAGTCGTAATAATAAATGATGGATACTAAATATTGTACGTATCTACCCATGGAAAATTGTAGCTAACGCGTTAATTATGCATGTGGAAATTACGTTCGGAATAATGAAACTCAAAGGAATGAGGGTACCGTACATATCTCGTTATTAATGATCTTTCTTATTATTCCCTCTAAAAAACACACCATTAAAGCGAGTTTGACTTCTAAGAACCAGTGGTGCCAGATATCTATGAACCACTTATAAATATTTTATTAATATTATCAAAATTTTTTTGGATTTATCGTGTAAGAACTTCATTATTGCAATGATCATGAAAATCAAACTATGAGTAGTTATTTTCAAGGGGAGAAAAACTAAACCGAAGGTAAAACGTCACATCCAAGTAAACTTGTTTCTATTAATTACTATTAATTAAATTTAAAACGCGTTGACAAAAATATAATCTACAAATAAAATAAATTGGTTTTCCGGATTAAAACTATTTGAGTTGTTGGACGATGACCTTATATACTGTAAAATTTAATTGTTTATTACAACCAAAATAAAACCATTATTTTTGGTCATGTTTAACTTGCAACATGTAATCAATATTTTGTGATGACTTTTATTCAATATCGACGACGAGGAGTTTTGTCGGTATGTAATTGTCACTTTTTCTCGTAGCAATCGAACACACATTCAGAGAAAATAATGGAGCAAAATATCTTCAAATTTTTAAAACCATGTCAATATCAATATCATTCTTCAAATCTTTAATAGTAGCAAGTACATTTGGAATACTGAAACCAAATTGTTGAAAGATCGAACTGAATTTTAGACGAAACAAATGCATGTGGTATCATTCATTGACCATGAAATTGAAAACCAAAGCAATGAATTTGCTAGTTGGTACTATCATTACGTCTTTATTTTTATCTCAACATTGAATTTGAACATTTTACTTCCTCGTTTAGTTATTAATATTTTAGGAATAATTTATTTATGAATATAACAATAAATTATAAATAAATATTTATTTTAATCCTTAAAATTTATAGTATTTTCATATTATATTTTAAAAAATCAAATAAATCTCTAAACATTTCGCTTGTTTGTTCCAAGGTGTTATACTTAAACTTTTATATGTATATGTATTCAACTAAACTACTTATTTAATTAAAATAATTTTGTGTGAATCTTTTTGTTCGGAAATTAAGTTTGAGAATAATTAACAAGAACGAGGAAATTGAATAATATAAAGGGAGAAAATATTCATAATTTAATATTTTAAGGTTTTATATTTAATGTGATATTAATTCTTAGGTGTAAGTTAGAATTATGTCTCATTAATATTATTTTTGATATATTTTCTCAAAAGACCTAATAATTACATGAGAGGCACAGTAGTTTGTATGATGACTAGTAGTATAAAAGTGATAATGTATATCAATGTGATGAAACTTATATTTTTGAGAGAAAAATTATTAAAAAATTTAAATATAAGTCTAAGTGACACGTTAAATTAAAAATAAAATAATTGTACAAAAGAATAATGACTCAACCTATTGTGTTGTAAAGTTTTTAATGGAAGCTGATGTTACGTAAATTAAACTTATGTTAGATTGCTATTGTTATTCTGGTAAATTTCCTTTAAAAAAAAATCCAATATCATCCACCGATTAAAATAAATTAGTAAACATAAATGTAAATACAATCCGTAACTAATATTATTTTTATTTTTATTTAACTTATAATTCTTGCAATCTAAAAAAAAAAACACTCTATAACTCGTTCACTTTCCAATCATGATATAGCTAGTAAGGGAACATTGACACATTTATAACAGCTACAGACCCGTAAACACATTTCACAGTCTTTCGGAATGTGAAACATAAATGTCGTACACAATTGTAGACCTCTCGGCGTCAAGATAAAGAGTGCTGGTTTCCACAAATCCAGTAGCAAATTTAAAACACCCACTTCCTCCGATCACAGGCATCTCCCTCACCTTAAGGGAGAGACGGTTCCTCCCCAACACAGTAATGGTGCTGCCATTGTACTTTCCTTCGGTCAACACAAAGTTGAAAACCACCAACAAGTTAAGCTCCCTTTGGGACGTACCGGCGTACGACCCCTCAACTCTTCCAACTATCTTAGAATTTTGCTCTGGACCAACAGTTAATGCGTTGTCCATTATCCCCACCAATCCGAAAGAGGTAGCGTTGTATTTCGGAATTGGAGGAACCACGGTAACTGAGGTAGCATTGCTACCTGTGTACCGTTCATGAAAATAGAATTTGAAATGACTAACCTTTTTGTCCTTCTGTAAATCCTCCAGGTTTAGTGCACCCACAAAACCAGTTTCATCTGCTAGAGTGGAAGTGAGAAGATGACAAGTGATTAGTAGGGAGAAGATTAAAACTTGGGAAGTCATGTTTGGTTGTGAGATGAAAATTGGTAATGTGGAAGTGTGAGAATGGAATAATGGAAGGTGGAATTTATAACCAAGAGTGGAAGTGAGAAAACAAGGGCCAAGTGGGAATTAGTGTGAAGCAAAAAGATAGAGTAAAGTGTAGAATAATAAGTAAAAAGGACCAACATTAACAATATCTTATAAATTTACCCCATGAAACGATAGAGTAAACACGTTTATTATCTCCATAACACACTCTTACTTAAAAAGAAAATTACATATAATTTTGATTTAATCATTAGTTTTGCAGGTTTTTCATTTTGATTCAATTGAACCTTATATTTACCATAGTAAATAAAAATATTAATTTAATTAATTAAAATAGAAAAAATGAAGGAATAAAATTATATTTATAAAATGTGGAGTAATTCCATGACGGAAAAACTAAATTAAAGGTCAAACATCACATTCAACTTGACGTAGAGCATTACAATTTGGCTTGGACAACCTTTTCAATTTCTTGATACGCAAGCCTCTTTTCTTCGAAAAAATAACACTGCATTCAAGTTTATTAATCACTATATTAAATTAAAAAATGGCTGAAAAAAATACAATATATCAATTAAATAATTTTTTTAAGCTTAAAAGTATTTTAATATATTACTAAACAGAATTTCTAAATAAAAGAAACACGTGTATCATAACCATGGTTTTTTAATCTAGTTGTGTCTTTTAAGCTAAGATTACGACTTTGATAATGAGTAAATGATTTATTGATACCTAAGCAGGTCAGTAGATTGTTCTTTTGAATAAGTTTTTCGATTCGAATAATATTTTTTTTTAAATAATGTTTTGAATTTGAATTTTGTGAATTGAAAAATCATTATTTGAAACACAGTGTTATAGATTTTCTTTGTCTAGTTCGATTGATAAGACAGAAAAAACCCTAGCTCATTAAAATATTCAAAATTAGTGCAAGTCCTGGATGACGAATTCACCTAACAAGTCTGACTTTTCAAATGGTCAGGATTATACGCAACGCCACGTGGCTAAAATCAAAGCTTCCAAACTTAAACTAATTATAAATTCTTTCATTTTGTTTTATTTTCTAGTTTTTAAAAATAATCTTAGAGATCAAATCTTATATTTAAAAAAAAAAAAAATTAAAATATTAAAAATGATTTTTACCAAAGAGAATATATGTTCAATTACGAAAAATTGTTGTTAGAAATTTGAAAAATAATTTTTATATTTTTATAATAAGAAATGAGTAAGAGATTACTACAAATTCTCAAAATTTTTGTAAAAATTACAATATTTTTTTTATATCTTTCGCATTTGTCGTGCTAAATAGCAACAAAATAGTGATGGAATGATTCTTTGGCTAATTTTCCTCACAAATGCATGATTTTCATGGAGTGTTCTTTCAATAAGTTTGACACGTCACTGGTTCGAGTGCGACATAGACCCATCCCTTCAAATTTAGAATCATCGTAGACTAATAATAAATGTTACTTAGATCAAACAATTTAATATAAGAAAAAAATATGTAATAATTAAATAAATTTATATTGTAGTATTAATGAATAATAATATATGTAACTTTCCATTGTAAAAGAGTAATGAAATAAAAAAAGTAAAATTTTTGAAAATATATAGAAAAATAAAAACAATAATTGATTCTTTAATTATTCTCTTTTTCCATTGATTGTTAGTCAATTTCTAAATTTAAATGTAATCATAAAAATTATAATTATTCATAATAAAAGACTGAGTCGATATGCAGTCTAAATTAATAATCCTACACTTCAAATTAACTTATTTATTCCTTAAATTCCTCTGTTTACTATATATATCTACCAATTAATTAACATTCTTCTACTTTCATTTGTATGAAACCAAAAGTTCCATTTTATTCCAAAAGCAATGCTTTCAACATGCACCCACGAGACTGGAACCATAATTTCACAAAAAAACATATTACACAACTTGAAATATAAAAAAAATATATATGTTTTTTTTTACCGTATTTTTGTTTAAAATTTATGATATTTGATTTAGTCTTATAATATTTAGTAATAACTGTTATTTGATGAAAATGATTTTCGGATAGACTTATAATAAATATAAGGTAGTCGTTGCTATAAAAAGGAAAACAACTTTCCCTAGCCATGATATTTAAAAGTCAATCCTGTACTGCGGAGAAGCGGGCAGCCATGAGCATGTTATCGTGGAACAAATGTCAAAGTCTTAATATTTATTACGAATTAAAATCAATATTTTTCTTAATTTTTAATCGACACTGACAACGTTAGGAGAGTGACATTTTTCGTACATTATATTATGAGTTTCACAATTCCCCCAAATATTCACCCTATTAGTTAGTTAATAAAACAAAACCTGTAATGAAAAACTAATTTCTGCATAAATATTTAAAAAATAAATTGAAATTACCTAATTCTTTTCTTTTCTTTTATGAAAAATAATTCTAAAGAAACTCGTTCAAGTGCATGTTTACTCGAGAAAGTTATTAGATCATCATATGACCAATGTAATAAGAAACTTGAGCTAGTTAGGTGACAAACTTTTTAAAACACTATACAAACTGAGTTTGATAACTTTGATTATATGGTATTTCGTGTTCAACTGGAGTTTCTCTTTTTATTAATATTGATATCAATAATATAATAAATTAATTATTATAATATATTTTATATACAATCATACAATATAAAACTAAAAAAATAAAATCAATTGTGCAATTTTTGTTATACACTTTCTTTTATCCACCTGTGTTATTTCTTGAATAAATTGTCTCGTGTAGTTGGCATTGCTGTGGTGTGAACTCTTATATTCATAGCACTTCATTACATCATTCAGACACACTTTGCACAAATTCATTACATCAAAGGAAGTTTCCTATGATGACCAATTGGGAAGTGAGAGTCAAAGTATTTGAACTAATTTTTTAAAATCTTTTCAAAGGAAATAGATTTTATTGTTATTATTAATATATATATATAATTCAATCTTATAAAACTCTTGTAAGGTTAGATTTTATGGTTTATTTTTTAATTTTAGTCTGATTTTATTCTAAAAAAAATTGTGAGTTCAACAAAAAAACAAGTGCTTATAAACTTTTTTCTTACCATACAATATATAACACTTTTATAGCCATCCTTATTAACTTTCAGATTTAGAATTTTGAGATAACTATTGTTTTTTTTTTTTTTTTTTTTTACTCAAGGCTTCCTTATTTTCCCTATTTTGTGATTTTCGAGTGAAACAACCATGGAGGGATAAACTTTTTAGATAAATTCACTAATGGATCTTAAGATTCAGCATTTAATACTTTTTAAGATCTTGTGTTTGTTATCTTTTTCTTGGACATAGAGATGGAAGCACATGGTGAAATACCTTGACGTGTGTTAATTCGATATTACTTGGATTTGAGATGTTTAATTGTAGACATAATTGAATTTTAGTTTTTAAATTGAGCAATTTCCTTAAAATGATGCTTGATATGCTTATTTCAGAATGATGTTTCTGAAATATTAGTTAAGTTAGGAATGAAGCTAAAATTAAATCATCAGGAGTGAGAATCAAATATTTAGAAATAAGCAACATTTAGAAAATCAATTAGTGGATTCACCATCTTTATTGTTTGCTTTTTCTTTTTTGCAATTTACTAAAATTAGATAATCAAGAGAGTGAGAATAAAATATTTAGAAATAAACATACATTGAAAGTTTATTTGTAGTTATTTTTATGTATTTACTCTAATCTATTTATTTTTAAAATATTTAAACAAACTTGTAAATTTAAAAAATAGGAGACCATGCATGGGACCAAAAACCGTAGCAGTGAACGAAATGATATTCTCCAACTCATTTATTATTATGATTGTTATTGCAATAGCAAGTAGCAGCTAGAAAAGCATGGGAAACAATTGAAATGTGAAAAAGACAAAGCAAAGAAAAATAGAACTCTGAGAATATTACAAAGCAGAGCATGGAGCAATCAATAATGGAAAACATAGATGTTGTACTCAGTGGTAGCATCCCCAGTTTTGGGGTCAAAGAAGTAGGTCTTAGCCTTGGCGTAACCCGTAGCAAACTTGAAAACCCCACTTCCACCAATCACAGGTAACTCTTTCGCAGATTCAAAGGCCACGTTCCTCCCCACGATGGTTATGGTGCTCCCGTTGTACTTCCCTTCCGTGAAGACAAAGTTCATGACCATGAGCAGGGTAACCTGCGACTGCGACGTGAGGGCGTAGATTCCTTCGGATCTTCCCACCACCTTGGAGCTCAGTTCGGGACCCAGGGTCAACGCGTTGTCGGTGACGGTGACGGAGCCGAAGGAGGAGGTGGTGTTGTACTTGGGGATTGCCGGGATGATTTGTACGGCGGTGGCGTTGGACCCGCTTATGATGTCGTGCCAGTAGACTCTGAAGTGGCTCAGGGTTTGTTTCTTGTGGAGCCCTAGGGTTTTGGGGTCCACTGTGGCCACGAACCCCGTGTCGTCTGCTTTGATAGTTGTGAGGGTGAAAGAGAGAAGGAACAGTGTGAGGAGTAGTTGGGTGGCCATGGTGGTGGTGTTGGTTTTGTGATGGAAGAGGATTTGAATGCAGAAAGTGTGGAGAGAAGGAATATATATATATATATAAAGATGTGGAAGGTATCACAGAAGGGAGACGAAGTAGGTGTGGATTCTGGACTTTTTCTTCAACAAACTCTACTTCATGACAAGAAATCATTTTCTTGCAGGAGGCAAGATTACTGTATACAATATTATATCAGATTGTATTAAAAAACTTGAAGTTTCTACACATATTGGTAGTGTTGTGAATTTCAAATTCGATAAGACAAGTATCAAAGAGTAGTTAAGGAATAAAAATACTATTTTAAGTGGAGAAAATTGTTAGGAAAAAATTATTTATATAAAATATATTTTAAGTAATTTATAGGAAGATTTATAATAAAATATTTTATTTTATTTTTAAATATCGAAAACGTTTTTTTGAGGTGTCCTTAAAAAATTAATAAATTAATTTAAAAAATAAATAGCTTCCGAAGGATTAATCTCATCAAAAGAAAGAGAGTCTAATATAATCAAAGAAACTTAAAAGTTCGTTACAAAATAATAAAATAGTTGATCATATTATGAAAAGGTACAGGATCACGTAATCAAAACACGTAAAATAAAAAATAGAAAGAAATAGATATCATCCGGTCAAATAAATTTATTTATTTTTTTGTAATTTTTAAATATTCAGGTCAACAGATTTGACCGTACCTACTTCGACTTACCTAGCCATGTTACAATTTACAACTTTTAAAATTTGATCGATTTTCGACCCAAATTAATTTCCAACTTACATTTTATTAATTTAAATCTGAAAAAATTCGCATAAAATATAAAAAATCATAGTATTGTTAGTGTGGAATCGAGAAGCCTGATCGAGAAATGAATCGAAAGGGAACTTTCCTGATGTCCGATTATAAAGAACGTGACACATAAAATCGAAAGGTAAAATCGGAAGAGAAGGTGTAATAGTCGAAAGCTTAACATGGAGTTAAAGTTAAAATAAATCGATACCAAGGATGCAAAGTTCTCGATTAAATCAAAGGGAAGGCTCGTTTTCGTAGATATCATAACCTCGGTTAAACCTTGAAGGAAAATAGTCAAAACGCACGCATGGAAAGCGGTTTCTAAGTTATGGAAGAGCCAAAAATCATGGGAACGTGGGGAAACAATAGAAGAAAAAGCTGCCATACGCACGTAGAACGTGGTAACGATCGTGTTAAGCTGTTCTTGGAAGGCTTGAAAGATGCCCTATAAATAGAGCAAAGAAGGAAGGAACGGGGGAAATTGGCGGAGAACGAGAATCGGTAGTGAAAAGTCTACGGAGAAACGACGAACACCATGAAGTTTACGGCGATCTGGATTTCCTTGCTCACTGAGTACATTTATCGCTTTCTATATTTTCCTTGGTAATTTACTTTCGAGCCATTTCAATTCGACAATTTCATATTCTTGTAGATTACATTCAATGTCATTTCGATTTCTATTATTTACTTTACGTGCAATTTTAATGGGTTTTAGCAATTTACATTTTCGCACATTTCGATTTCCTGTTATTTACTTGATTATGCAATTTTAATGGGTTTTAGCAATTTACATTTTCGCACATTTCGATTTCTGTTATTTACTTTACGTGCAATTTTAATGGGTTTTAGCAATTTACATTTCACACATTTCGATTTCTGTCCTTTATTTATCTCGCAAACTTAATTTCTTGCAAATTCGGGGTTTTCGCACTTTCTTGCAATTTAATATTCTCTTTGCTCGATTCGATACTTTCTTGTTTTGTTTGAGTCAAGCATTTTAGACATAAAATACCAAAAACCACATTTTCGATATCCTGTAGTTTTCAATTCTCATACGCGTTTTCGATTGAAAATCAAATTGCTAGCCTAAGTAAAAAGAACTTACGTGGTAGAATTTTGATTAGGACCAAAACACCCTTAGAATCGAAATCGATCGAAATTCCACAGAAACAAATTGGCGCGCCGGGTAGGGGACTTGTGTTGAAAAAACACAAAAGAGGTTAGTTCGAGAGTGTATGAGATTAAGAAGTGGGAGAGTTATAAGAATGAGTCGAGAATTCCTCAAGTAGTCGGAATAACAATGAGGGTCTAAGTGGTGTGCTCCCACCAAATGCTGGGGGCAAGGGCAAGGGCATAATGGGAGTATCACGGTAGTGTCGACAAGCTGTGAGCACGTCGATACCGATAAGTAATGAACAAAATCCAGGTCCATTGGCAAACACCCATGTAGGAGCTAGTATAGCAATATCAAATAATATGCAAACTATGGGAAACCCCATAACCACATATGCGGGGCCATATACTAGTGTAAGACCACCTGGTTTCTTATCCAATAACATGAATGGAGCTGGCACTTCATCGATACATAGAAATTCACGATTCGGCTTAGGAATGCCTCAAAACGTAGGTACATTTCAAACCCTAGGCATGCCACGAAAACTTTGGAGTATCTACACATTTAGGGGTATCTCAAAATTCGGTGACATCACAAAATTCGGGGAATGGACCAAACTTAGGGATACAACGAGACACCTCCAAATCTAGATCCTAGGGGAATCTCGATCATGGGAGATATGCATTTGATAGGGACTTTCATCGATCTAATTTCGAGAATATCGAAAATACTAATCTTGGGATTTCCAGTAACTCCCTAGGAATACTTAGACAACAAATGGATGAGAGTAATTTTGAAATGGTGAATATGTTATCACGGCGGTTGACTACGGTCTTAAACCCATTAGTTCAAAATACTACTGCTAGTTTCGAGATATTAGCGGATCAAATGTCTCGAATTGGAGACGCATTAGGCTGTACCTCGACAAACGAGGATTGAGAATCATGCCAATCGGAATATTAATCCCACTTATTTATTAAGAAGGAATCGGAACAATGATCAATATCGGCAAATGGGGAACGAATATCAACATGTGAGGAATGATATTTACGGAAATGCGAATGAGGGATTTCAAAATATTCATAATCAAAATAATACGCAATATAATCACATGTTAGGACAAAGGATGAATTTCCAAGGGACGGATGTAAGACCACCCAATCGGACATATTTTGTGTCTCCTTTTCCAAATGCGATTCTCGAGACAGAATTGCCTCGAGGATACAAAATACCCAAATTCACTAAATTTCTTTGGAGAGGTTGGTGAATCAACTATCGAGCATGTAGCTCGATATCGAGATAGAGTGTGGGGACTTAGCGATGAGTGAAGAGTTAAAAATGAAGTATTTCCCTAGTTCCTTGACTAAGAATGCTTTCACTTGGTTTACTTCATTGCCACCCAATTCGATATATAATTGGTTTCGGTTAGAAAGAAATTTCCATGAACAATTCTTTAGAGGAGAAACTCAAGTAAGTCTCATTGATTTGATGAACATAAAACGATATAATCATGAAAACATAGATGATTATACGAATCGATTTAGACAAATGAAATCAAGATGTTTTACTCAAATTCACGAATACGAATTAGTCGGGATGGCTTACGCGGGTTTAGAATTCTCGATTAGGAAAAAGTTGGTAAATTTGCCATTAAATGACATGGCTCGGTTAGGCGATAAAGTGAGGAGAGTGGAACAAATCGAGTATGAGAAACAAAGGCACAGAAATTTGAGAAACACTGTGAAAAAAGAAAGAATAGCCTATATAAATGATGTGTATGAAGTAGATACCTCGACGAGCGATATCGAGGAAAATGTTGATGAGAAAGTAAATATAGCGAGCTCAAAGTAGGAGCTCCATATACTTGTAAATTGTTGCAAAAGAATGAAGTGAAGGATAAAATGGCAAACCAGAACCTACACTTTCGATGTAACAAAAGCGAGATAAGATCTTCGACATTCTACTTAAAGATAAGCAGATTAAGTTAGCGAAGATCACAAGCGCATACACGAGAACAAAGGGGTGGTCGAAAATATTGTAAATTTCATAATATTTATGGACCTTTGGACTAATAATTGTATACATTTCGGGAACACGATTCAAGATGCAATCGACCAAGGAAGGCGAAGTTTGGAGAGACGGCGATGAAAGTGGACACGAGTCGTTCGAAGTCCAAGTGGGATATATTGAATCCCAAGCGAGATGAAGGATGACGTTAGGCGATGAATGCCACCTTCATAGGCATGGTCGATGTTGCTGAAGACATCGATCCCAAGCATACGAGAATGGACGTATCGAGAGGAAGATATGGAGTTCGACTTGAGCGAATTCGAAAAAGAATTTGAGAAAGAGATATATCCTCGAGCGGGAGACTCCCTCGTTGAATTTTTGAATAGGAAGAAAGAGAAAGACGAAGACGTGTCGCTATGCCCACGGTGCGGTGCGGTTTTCGATAAATCAGTGCCAAAGCTTTCAAAATTGAACAAACAAAGAAGATCGAGAGTCTAAACAAAAGGAAAAATGATAAAGTGGAGCAAACGGCCCGACCAACTATCGAAGAAAGTCAGCGAAATCTGTTGGTTACGGTATTAAGCGGGAATCAAAGGCAATGGGTTAGAAGAGATGTATCCTTCTCGAGGAGGAAGAGGAAGACTTCAAAGTAGTGATGTCTTGAGAGACTATCATATGATGAAAGATCAAACAACTTGGATTCCCGACATTCCCGAAGATTAGAGGAAGGCCACTGGAGAAGAGGAGGAAGGATCCACTGCTTGGAGTAATTATAGAAATTTTGAAGAGAATATTGTACCTATGGAAAGCCAATATTCAAGGGAATTCTTCGATGATAAGAATGAAGGCAAGCTGGAGCGAACATCAAATCGGAGTGATATCGATATTACCGCGGAATATGTCAGCGAATACAAGGAATATCGAGGAGCAGTGATGCTAATCGAGAAGATGACTTCTATTCGAGAAAACATCGAGGCCAAAGGTGACATGGGTAACTCGGGCATCGTGCGAAATACCTCATAGAATCTTTGCCTTCATCGACCCTCCATCGAAGAAATGAGGTTCCACTTGAA